TGTATGTGGAGGGAAGATCTGGATCGCTGGATCGGAACTGGAAATGCAAAAATTCATCACCTGCCGCCGTAGCAGTCACGTACTCAACCCCCTCTCCCCCCTCCCCTCCCCCGCTCCCCCCTGCCTCACCTTCGCAACAGCGGCTCCGCTTCCGCATGTCGGTCCATCTGCCCCAGCAGGGAGGCCAGGTCGATGAGGGAGGCGGCAGTGCCCGGGTGCTCGGGACCCAGAACCACCTCGCGGATATCCAGAATCCTGGGAAAGGGGAGTGGGAGGGGGGGAGGGGAGGGGGAGGGGAGGGGAGGTCGCACAGAGCAGGATGTGGACTAAGCGACAAGGAGCAGGGGAAGGGAAGGGAAGGGAAGGAGGTTTGTGTGTGTGGGGGGGTTGTTTGGGGTTTGGGGTTGGGGCCGGGGGATGCTTTGGGGTTTCACATTGGGTTTGTCTTGGAGGTTTGTGTGGGCCATGGTCGTGTTTGCGCCGCTGTCGTGGGGCTCCGCCACTGCGCAGTACGGCATGTCGCAATGGGCAGCGCAGCCGGGGGGGGGATTGGAGATACCAACAATCGCGACAGACAAAACGATTCACCCTAGGACGCATAATTACAGTCTGCCTACCACCGTAACCACCACCGTAACCAGCATCAACACACACACACACACATACACCCCCTCACCGTCTGAGCAGCGGCTCCGCCTCCCCCAACCTGCCCTGGTCCATCAGCAGCAAGGTCAGGTCGGTCAGGGACGCGGCTGTGTCCAGTGCCAGCGGCCCCAAGAGGCTCTCCCGGATCCCCAGGGCGGTTTTGAACAGCTCCTCAGCCTCCTCCAGCTTATCAGCCTGGAGGGAAGACGGCGGGGGCAAGACGGGGGATGGGGGGTAACGGGGATTTGTGTTTTGGGGGTCCTGGTGGGTGTGGAGGGAGGGGTTGTGTGGAAGCATCCATCGGGGGTAGGGGGGTAGGGAGGTGCGGAAGGAAAACCCACACGGCACAAAACGCAACACGGGCCATGTAAAACGTGTACAGGGGGGGAGCGACGTCAGCAGCACTGCCAGTCAGGATCCTGCAGGAGCAGGAGGAGGAGAAGGAGGAGGAGGAGGAATTGGAGTTGGGGACCCTCCCTGGACCTCAGGGAAAACCCTAGCTAGGCAGCTGCACCCGTTCCGTTGCCCCGGGAAACTACCTCGCCACCAAGTTCCCAACCCCATCCACATCCCCACCGGTGCCCTGGATATCGGCACTTGACATGCCGTCTCTTCCGTGTGTAAACTCCCTTCCCCCCTTTACCCCCCGCCTTCCTCCCTCCTCCCCCCTTCCTACCTTCCGGAGCGCTACCCCTAGGTTGGACAGTGCATTCGCCGTGTAGGGGTGTGCGGGGCCCAGACTGCTGGCAGCGGCCTCGGCAGCTCGCCGCAACAGAGCCTCGGCCTCGTCCAATTTGCCCTGTACGCATGTATGTATGCATGTATGTACGTATGTTTTGTTGACCAACCGAGCCGCGAGTACGCGTGTGTGCGTGTGTATGTGCGTGGGGGGGGGACGTGGCAGTGAGGTTGGGAGGCGGTCGAGATGGGAGGGAGAGGAGATGAATCGCCGCTGGTGCAACAACATGGAATTGAAGAAAGGACTGCCGAAATCCACATCGGGGTCCCTGATGGGAGCGCGGCGGCGTTAGGGGGCGTGGTTTCCACCCACCCGCACCTGCTCCTCCAGCAAGCCCGCCAAGTTGTTCATGCAGCGCAGGGTGTCCACGTGGCTGGGCCCCAGACTGCCCTCACACGCCACCAGAGCAGCCCGCATCAGGGGCTCCGCCTCGTCGAGTTTGCCCTGGTCCTGTGGCGAGGGGGGGTGCGGGAGGACGGTGTCTGTCTGTCTGTATGTCTGCATGTATGTCTGCATGTGCGTCGTGTTCTATGTAAGGTGTTCTCTGTCCTCGTGCCTGCGTGTTCCCTCCTCCTTCCCCCTCCGAGCAAATGACGGGTATGATGCGCCGCCCAGGACACCCCCAGGACGGCCATTTCCACCAAACATTTACGGTAGTGTGTGCACCCCAACATTACAGGTGGTGTGTGCGCCTTGAAGCCTCTTCAAGTACCTTCAGTGACAAGGCCAAGTTACAGCGGACAGCCAGGGTCAACAAATGCCCCCCGCCGTAGTGCGTCTCGAAGGCCGGCAATGCCGTACGCAGCAACGGCACCACCTCCGCCAGGGAGCCGCCACCAGCTCCGGCCGGCGGCAGCGCCATAATGGCGGCACCGCTCAGCGGCGGCGGCGGAGCTGCCGCCGCGGTCGGCAGCGCTGAGCCCGTTGCGCCTTCCCTGGAGGCGGCACTTGCGGCGCCGCGGAGGTGGTCCAGGCTGCTGGCGTCGCGGGAGGAGGCGGCGGCGGCGCTGCCGGCGGCGTGGCTGGAGGTCCGCAGACACAGCTGCCGAGCTAGGAAATGCCTCGCGTGGGCCGCAAGTACAGCGGTGGAGGCGGCGGATGCGGCGGCGCCACTCCTGGCTACATCGTCCGGGGCGTCGAGCCTCGTGATGGCGCCGCGCAGCAGCAGCTCCGCCTCGTCGCCATCGAGCGACTGCGGCAGCACGTGCAGCAGCGCGCCGAGATGTAGCAGCGATATCAGCGGCATTAACGGCTGTGGGTGCGGCGGCGGGCAGCCAGCGTGAAGCTCCCGGGCGCGGCGCAGGTACGGCTCACCCTCTGCCGGCCGGCCAGCGGCCCACAGAAGGCAGCCATAGGCGTCGCTGGTGGCCGCCGCCAGCGCCTGCAGCTGGTGGTCGAAGGGCTCAGCGGACGATGGCGGCGGCTGGCTGGATGGCTCCGCCGCCGCCGCGACATCAGCGGCAGCGTCCGAAGCTGCACCTGCCGAGTCAGAAGGAGGCGACGGCGGCACCGCCGCCGCCGGCTCTACCGGGTTCTGTCCTGCAGCAGCGGCCGACTGGGCCGCCGCAATAGCCGTCGTCAGTGTTTGTAGTTGGTGTTCAAAGGCCGCGAGGAGGCCGTGCTTTATGGCTGCGTCCGCAGCGGCGACGCGACCTTCCACATCGAGCTCTTGCCCTTCCTCACCACCGCCGCCGTCGGCCTGCGGCGGCGCCGCGGCGGCAGCGTGCTTCGGAGGCGCCGCCGCCGTTGCCGTACCTGGCGGCAGCGGTATGGTAGGCGCCTCCGCTGTGACGTCTTCCAGAATCGCTGCATGCACGGCGTCGGGTGTCTGGGGCGACGGTAGCAGCAGAGTAAGGTTCTCCCATGCCAGGTGCGTTAGCAGCACATCTAATGGCCCTGCGCAAAGCGGAGTGATAGCGGCGGGCTTCCCAGCGGCGACAGCGGCACGGCGGTAGCGCATGTACGACCAAATGCCGTAGAGGCACCATGGGGATGTGAGCACCGCGGCATCGCCGTCGAGTACGACCGCCAGGATGGGTGCTTCGCGGGCGGCGGTGGTAACGTCTTGGGACGCCGAGGAGGAGGAAGAAGCTGCAATGGCGTGAATAGCGCGGCGATAGGTTTCCAGGGCTGAGGTTGGGAGAGAGGTGCCGCCCCCAGCGTAGGGTTTGGAGCGTGAGGGGACAGACGACACGACGGTGGAGGCCTGGGAAATAGCGTCCAGGCTGTCGTCGTTGTCCACGTTGTGCAGGTTACAGGCAAGAATGTCAAGCCAGAAGTACACGGGATCGGAGCTATCTGGGGGACGCTCCTGGGCGAGTGTGTCAACCAGGCTGCTGAAGCTCATGGTCCATGGCGCGATGACCACCAAGCTGGGCACGCCGCGGTCTTTGTCAGGCAGCAATTCCACGTACGCGCACAACTCAGACAACGTGGCTGGACGAATAATGCTTTCAACGACGGCCGCAACAGTGGCTCCTTCCTCAACACCTGCACTAACCCTTTCTGCGAGCTCTCGCAGGGCAGCTAGTGAAACACCTGTCCTTGCGATGTCTTGCATTCTGAGATGCCAAAATGCGAACAGGGTGTCACGACGTTATCCAGATACCATTTTAAGCAGATTCGAAGCGGTGAGCTATGAGCTGTTCAAGTGCACAGTTCTTCGAGCCCTGATGAAGTCGCAAAGTGAGTGCGTCATTTTATATCTAGGTAAGATCTCCATTAGGTTCTGTGTCTATTGCCTCTTCGAGCTGGAACCGGGCGTATTCCACGCGCTATCCCGTACAGCTCGTCCAACCGGTTCTCAACGCAGTTGCCTACCTTTCCTCCTCCCCATATGAAAATCAATTATCCCCGCACCATTGTCCAGGCTTGAGCAAGTAACGTTGCTCTTAGTCGTAGAAGGCTCTTAAACGTCTGCTATAAAGATCGTGGCGCCATGTCTTTAGCATTTGACGAGTATGGGCGGCCGTTTATCATTCTTAGGGTACGTATTTCTCCTCTGTGTGTGATTTCAATTTTAGCTCTATTGCGTGAAGCCCGCCGTCTAGAGTTCTCGAAACGGCGCTGCTTCTGTCTTCGCAGGAGCAAGAGAGGAAGTCACGGGTAAAAGGGATAGAAGCCGTTAAAGCCAGTATTATGGCTGCCAAGACTGTGGCGCGAACGTTGCGGTCCAGCCTTGGGCCTAAGGGGATGGACAAAATGCTTCAGAGTCCCGATGGCGACGTAACGATCAGTAAGTGATCTGGCGCACATGAAATTAACAACATATGATTTTGGTTTTGCGTGCGAAACGGGGGCGCCACTTATCCGCGCGGGCTTGTTGGGCGGGAAGATGAGGACGCGGGCCTCCCGGCTCCGCCCCATATATATGTGGTGAAACTATGCGAGTACGTGCCATGCTCCATGAGATGCTGTGGCCTGTGCACTGCAGCGAACGATGGCGCTACGATCCTAGAAATGATGGAGGTGGAAAACCAGATTGGCAAGCTCATGGTGGAGCTTTCAAAATCACAGGATCACGAAATTGGGGACGGAACGACGGGTGTGGTCGTGCTGGCGGGTGCTCTGCTGGAGCACGCCGAGTCCCTTCTTGACATGGGGATGCACCCGCTCCGTATCGCCGAGGGTTATGAAATGGCCTGCAAGGTAGCAACTGAGAATTTGGACAAGATAAAAACTCGGTTTGAGTTCAGCAGAGACGACATCGAGCCCCTCGTGAAGACGTGCATGACAACCCTCTCCTCAAAAGTGTAGGTCCCGGTAGTGCAGCTGCACCCTCGCGTTGGTGTGTTGGATTGGGACGGGGAGAGGGCAGGGGGAACAGGTAGTGTGATAAATTCTGATGAGATGTGTCCCTCTGCATGTACGTGGCCTTAGGTTTCGGCCCGCAAACTTGTGGGGTCGTTGGGTTCCAGGGTGCGCAGCCTCACCTGCTGCGTGCGGGGGGGATTACTGTTTCGGTGGGTTTAGGTAAGATCCCAATGTTCAGGTGGCTACCTGGACTTTTCGGGATCCGTTTGCAAGCCTCCCTGGTGCAGCATCCTAGACTGTTTTCACCGCCGGTCACAATAAAAAGGGGGTGTCAGGAAATGGTGCCGGGCTTTGCAAGGGGATTACCGTTGTTTGCCATGGGGCGTGGGTTATCGTAATGTAGAGTTTCGGCTGTAACGTCACCTAATGGGGAGGAGCGATTAAGCAACCTGTATGCTTGTCGTTTCCCTTTGCCAGCCGTTAGGTTGCTTCGTCGGAGGAGACGATGAAATACCACGATTGAATAGCTGGTTAGCACTGACCTTTTTACACAAAGGCCCAGTTGCCGCCCCATGGCCGAAACCATGACGGCACGTCTGCACGGCCCCTGCGCCCCTTTTCCTTGCCACTCTCAGCGTGGGACGGCTAAAGCTACAGATGGCGGAGATTTGCGTCAAGGCCGTGCTGGCAGTGGCAGACCTGGAGCGGCGGGACGTGAACCTGGACCTGATTAAGGTGCGTGGGTGGGCCTTCTTGAGAGGACCCGTGGGCCGGGCAGCTTTAAGTTGCGGACGGAGAGCATTCGACGTTCAGCAAAGGGCTCCACGCTGCCTAGTGGTGTTGGGACAATGTGTATAAGCGCTCCCGGTCTGTGCTGCCAGCTCGCGCCGCATGTCCGTCAGCCAGATGTACGGCCTACTACATGTGTACACACAGGCAGGCGTATTAAAGAACCTCTGCACTACAAATCTATAACTGTGGTGTAGGCGCACAGCGTTTTCAGTCAGCAAATCTCAGCGATTTTAAGCAATTAGGTGAGAGCCATCGCAGTATATACCGGCCATAGGCCAGCTGAACCAGCATCCTAAGGCCTACCGGCACCCGGGCGGGGGTCTGCACCGGCACCGGAGACTGCACCCGTGCGCTTTGCGTGCAACGTATCTAAATCTTCGGGCTGGGCCCTGAAACGAGAATGGTCCCCTAAACTGGGCTCGTACGGAACTACATTTTATCTGGGGCAACATATTTTATTGCGATGTTTTAGATTCGGAACGAGGGATTGAAGCTGTCTGCGAACTTAGACGGATTGGGGGAAGCAGCCGCAAGCTTGCCAAGGGACAGGTAGGACGTCAGAATGCGCATTATACCGTTCGTTGTGCCTCTCATTGGCACCAAGATGCGCACAGTTAGCCTCCCATCCTACTCCTGCACGATTCTCTCGCGAAAAGCGACAGACTATTGTACAACTGCTACGTGTTCCTAGGAAGGAAACAAGTTGTCTGCTCCAATGAGTATATTTCCAGTAGGGGGACGGTTGCTATTACCGTCTAGTTTTATTGCACTGCCAAGTTTCGCGCAGTCATATATACGTACATCTTCGGTGTTTTCATGGCGGCCCATTTCCTAATTATACACACGCGCACGTGCACATACCACAACCTCATCTTGATGGACACTATATCATTGTTAGCCGTGTACGTACTGTGACCAGCGTGGTTCCTTTGCGCGCTGAACATCCACCCACATCCATCCCTCGCATCCCGCAGGTGGAGGGCAAGGTCGGCGGCAAGATGGAGGACACCCGTTTGGTGGAGGGCATCGTCATTGACAAGGAGTTTAGCCACCCACAGATGCCAAAGGAGCTGAGCGACGTCAAGGTGGCTATCCTCACCTGCCCTTTTGAGCCGCCTAAGCCGAAAACCAAGCACAAGGTGGGGGATCTGCGGCGAAGCCTCAGCGTGCTGCTGGGCAGCGGGAAATGCTGTCGAGTTACCGTCATATGGGCGTTTCAATATCCACTGCGTCGATTGGTTTAATTACTATACAAGTGACAGCCTTGCGGAGCCCCATGGTGCTTCCCCGCGCGCTCGCTAAGCACTTTGATTGTCCACTTCTGGGATTTGGGTGTCAAGCTGTTCCTGACGTGCAAGCCTCACTGGCCAGTATGCGACACGTTACCGCTGTTCCATAATTTCTAAATGGCCAAAAGCACTAGTTCCGTCCAGTCCGGATTACCCGCTCAGCCGAGGTTCTCATTAGTCTACTGCTTTTGCGTCCTGAGTTACACAAATGGATGGCCCGCTTCGTCCTCCTAACGGAGTCAAAAGTCAACCCTCGTAGGTGGACATTGACACGGTGGAGAAGTTCGAAGCGCTGCGCGACGCCGAGCGGACCTATTTCACGGACATGGTCCAGCGCTGCAAGGACAGTGGCGCTCAGCTGGTCATCTGCCAGTGGGGTTTCGATGACGAGGCCAACCACTTGCTCATGCACCAGGTGAGGGACTTTCTTTGCGAGATTGGTGATTGCCATGGATTGCCTCAGGGCTTCACGATTGTCCGAAGATACCGACTGGGTGCTAGTCAAGGGCACGCCAAGCACTTGGGTCCCTTCCGCAAGCGTCTGTATTGTAAGGTCTCTTTGCCTGCTAAAGTCCCCGCGACAATTTACCTTGCTGCCAGGTCCTTTCGTTTCGCCCCTCGCATGCCGCTCCCTTAACCCTGCTTCGTGTCCTTCATGCCTGCTGTTTCGTTACCTTGTTTCCCGTGTATGGCAAACGCTGTTTCGCCTTTTGTTTCTTTTCCGCCAGGACCTGCCTGCGGTGCGATGGGTTGGCGGCGTTGAGATTGAGCTGCTAGCTATGGCCACTGGAGCCCGCATCGTGCCTCGTTTTGAGGAGCTAAGCCAGGACAAGCTAGGATTCGCTGGTAGCGTGAAGGAGGTGCGCTAGACGGGCTGAATGTTGGGCCGGGTTTGGTATTATGAGGGCCGGTTTAGGTTCCGTCCACTCACTCCTGGCAGTTTTCCTCGGCTGATGTGACAATAGTTTGCATGGACATCGCGAGCCCTGTTGTGTCATCTGGTGAAGTTTTCAGGGTGCTGAGGTCATGGTGATGATGCAGAAGCCGGAGCCATGCAAGCCCCTGCATGTGAAAGAAGTTGTGACGCAATATTGCATTCGTCCACGTCCGCGCCATTACTGCATAAACATAAGCAGTAGCACCCTGCATCGTTAAAGATTAGCACCATCCATGGAACGTCATTCGACGGATTCAGCCTGTTCTGACCCTCTCGCTGCTGCAATCCAAATCGGTCGCTTTATAATCACTCTGTTTCTACACGCGTTAATCTGTACCATCCTACACAGCAGCGTTACCATTTCCCCGCGGTCGCCAACGCCATTCGGCCTGGGGATCCGTTCCCCTCGACATGATAATCCCCTTCCGCTCACCTTCAAAACTTTAGCCAACCTGCACACCGGCCGGCACCTTGCAGGTGGGTTTTGGCACCACAAAGGATAAGATGTTGGTCATTGAGGGTTGCCCCAACCTCAAGGCCGTCACCATCTTTGTCCGCGGCGGCAACCGCATGGTCCTGGACGAGATTAAGCGGTCGCTGCACGACGCCATCTGCGTGGCGCGCAACCTGGTGCGTGACAACGCCATTGTATACGGTGAGACAGGAGCTGGAGGGGAATGGGTATGAGGGCCTCGTAAGGGGATTGCCTCGCCGCTAGCGCCCGGGTCCTGTTCGCTAACTGACGGTTTCCACCTTTCAGGCTTTTCAGAAGATGTCGCGACAAGTGAATGGCCAATGGGGTTGGAGGTATTAACGTGCTCGAATCAGTGAACTAGGGGCTTGCAATAATACGGGCGTCAGGTCGAAGTGACACGAAGTCCCCGCGCAGCATGTCTTAAGCTCCTGCGTGGGTTCACTGCTTAGAATCGACATGGAAGCTAAACTCCTGATGTCCCGTACGCCAGGTGGCGGCGCTGCGGAAATCAGCTGCGCGCTGGCGGTGGAGGAGGAGGCGGACAAGGTGACGGGAGTGGAACACTACGCCATGCGGGCCTTCTCGGACGCGCTGCAGGTGGGCTCGCGTTCACGCTGTGGCGCTGATTTAACTCCTATTGTGGTGTTGCGTGCAGCACGGCTCCGTGTGCTAAGGTCTATCCCTCCCTTTGATCTCCCCGCCTCCTTGTCGCCTGCTGTCTCCTTTTGACTCATAACTAGGGAACACCAATAAAGTCTCGGGTCTTGCCCCAGTGTGAGTGAAGTGATGTTGGGTTTGCGGATTAGGACAAATGCAGTCGAGCTGTAGTGTAAGCTACGGTGAGAATGTAATTGGTGTAGGTGTACAGCTCAGCTGAGGCACACGGTACCATGCTTTGTCCTGGCAGGCGGTGCCGCTGGCCCTGGCAGAGAACAGTGGCTTGCCGCCCATTGAGAGCCTAACGGCCGTGAAGAAGCGCCAGCTGGAGGAATCAAACCCCTACCTAGGAATTGACTGCAACGACGTGGGTAAGTGCCCGCGTGCCTCTTGCACCAGGGGAAAAGCTGCTCCGCACGAATCGTGCTCGATGTGCAGCTGTTGTTTACAAACACTATTCGGGGTAGGTTTCCAACAATATGGCATATAGCTTGCTGGTAAGGACATGTGGTTGTGTGCTTGGCTGAGTTCGCATGCCAATTTTGCGGCATATGCAAAACCGGAGCCTTTGCGTCATAGCCTACGTGTGTTACTGAAGTTGAACAGTGCGGTTTGCCTCGCACATGTCTGCTGCTAGAACTGGGATGCGCCAAGGCAAGATGTCTGCTGCCTCACCTTGCGTCCTGCGTTCCTGGCCTGCACCCCGGGAAACCTGTCCATGACATATTTTTCCTCCTTTCCCCGAAGGCACCAACGACATGCGTGCGCAAAACGTCTTCGAGACGGTCATTGGGAAAAAGCAGCAATTGTTCCTCGCAACGCAGGTGAGGGAGTTGGGGTTTCCCTGGTCTGACAGATCATGCTTGGTTGGTTACAACAGCCAGCATTCTGCACTACCTGCATGTAACCTGGCACTGTTCGCTCTACAAGCAAGGAGGCCGTCAACGGGGCCATCATTGCTGAGCAGGCGGGTTTAAGACACCATACCACCTGGTTGATAGCAGGCTACCTGCTTGCAACGCTCGAATACTTGGACGCCGCAATATCTATTCATGAGTGAGGCTCTCAGCATCCAGTCCCAACAGTTTGTACCGGTTAGATTCACAGTACTAGTCGACTCATTCCGCTCATCCTCATGTTTTCGTTGCGGACTACCGGTGGTGCGTATACATCCGAAGTGCTTAGCGCTCTACCCTGTGTTGGATAACGACGCGCAGGTGTGCAAGATGATCTTGAAAATCGATGATGTTATAAAGCCGTCGGAATTTGAATGAGGGGATCGGCGGCGGGAGCACGGATTCAGACCGGAAGTGAGCATGACTGACTGCGGACAGGACATCTGGGGCTGAGAATGCGGCCCAGAGGCGCAAAGCTCTTCCTCGGTTGTAATCCTACATCCGTAAGGCTGTGCAGTTCCCGTCCTTTGGCTCTTCGAATTGTTGGGGATGCTGTAATCAAGCCTAGAGAGATCGTGGCGTGCCCTCAACCAAGTCCGAGGCGCTTGTTGCTTGTGATTCGTAACATGGCGCATGGATGGCTGTAGCACGCACTGGGCAGGGCTGGGCTTGCTTATGGCACCAATAAGGTGCATCGCGCAGTGCCTAAGTGTCAGAGGGCTGTGGAAACAAGGCTGTGTGTTGCTAAAATCCGCATGCGTGTTCGGAGGCGGCAGGGTTTTGGAGGTGTTTCGGCAAGCATCGGCTGCCTCGGTCGTTTTTGTGGAAGGACCGTCGTAAATCCAGGTATGGTGTTGGCGGTTGGGTTTGCTGTCCGCCAGCTGAAGCCGGAAGCCTGCTCCTCGCGACAGGGTGGTGGATGTTGCGTTTAGTGCGCTTCGGAATCGCAGCTTTTGTGGCAGGACGTACGTGTCGTAAGGCTTGGTTGACTGTGGTAACACCTATGATATGCGAGAGCTTTGCGTGCAGCGTGGCTTTGCAGGCTGATGTGCTTTTCCGGCGCGATCCTTGGGCTGCGACAGTGGCACAGGTCACCTGCTGGCCACACGGCCCAAGATGAATTATGGGTTTGTTGATATCTGTAATTATCATCAAAGCAATTGTCATTGTTCGTCCACCCTGACTAAAGTCTATGGGCATAGTCGGCACACGTACTCCCGTACTGATTCAGATCATAAGTATCAGTAAAAGTTTCCTGTCAAATGTTACACATTCGATGGGGCCCAGATTCTCGTTACGCATGAAACGATTGAAATGCTTAGGGGTTATACTGAAGGGCGGTCATGTTTCGCCAATGTTAAGGTCTTATGACTTTGTCTCAGTAAAGTTTCGTGAAAACAGATAACAGGGCGCCAAGATTATATCATATACATTGAATTATGTTTTCCAACAGTGTTTACCAATCTGTTAAATTGCTCAAGGCCAGTTTGCTGTGCAGGTTCCATTTATAAGGATGCTGTTAATTTGGTTATTCTTCTGCCTGGGGAACAGCTGGACAACAAAGTCTCAAAGCATCCAGGGCTACGCCTCAAAACAGCGCTGTGCTTACACACGCGGAACATGGTGCACAAACTTCTTTGCACAGGAGGTAAGGCGGCCGTGAGGTCTGCCGGGGTTTAGGCGGTGGCTATTGGCTAGACTCCTGCGGGTAGGAGTTGGATGGACAGGGAAGGAGGGGCATCGGTTCGGCGTAAGAGGTCACGATTCCGGGCAATATGTTTGTTTGTTTTTCATATTAGCCTGGGGGAAGGTTCTACTCTTGGCGCTGGAAGGGACCGCGGGCGCACATCTGTCTCGTGGGATGTGTGCAGTAGGACCAGAACACATTTTGGGAAGTAGGACCGGATGCGGATATTCCACAACACCCACAAACACACAACACAGACAGCCACAAACACAGCGAGGACTGCTAAACACCGATCACCCTAGATGCTTCGTCCTCGACCCTCCATGCGGCCCCCGAACAAACTCCCTTCCCCCGTCCCTCTAAAGCTCAACTGGTCAACCCAACCAACCGAACTAACCCATTCCGATGGTTGTCCCTTCTCATATTACGACTCTGCGTGTTACAACACCTGCAGCTGGTGCCTTGGCGGCCTGCGCCTCGCGGCGACATGGACTGCCCTGGCGGTTGCAATAATGTGGGCCGCTGCAATTACGACACGGGGAAATGTGACTGTCCTGCCGGGTGGACGGGACCGGGCTGCAAGACGCCCTTCAAGCGGCCCTGCGCGAACCAACAGAGGTATGACACGTGTTTTTCTTTCATGGAGCCGCTGCTGCTCCAGAGGGGAGAGGGCCTGGTGCGCTGCGTCATCGCATGACTGTACGGCAGTTCGGCGTACTTCACGGCATCAGCTTGGGCGGGACGGGGACAGCAGTGGCGGTGTGTGGTGCCTGTTGTGTGGTGCTCGTGCTACCTTCCTCGCGATAGTGAGAGGCAGCTATATCATCATGGGGCCCACCAGGTTGCCGTACCCCCCTGTACGACATATGGCCATGGAGTGATATGCCCTCCGGGAGATTATCAGATGTAGTGCCCATACGTATTGTGTGTTCTGATAGAGCGGTTTTATGGGCGCCAATAAACCTCCCCCTTGTTTGCGGTTTATTCGAGGGCAGCATCTCCTGGCTGCCACCAGGGTGTTTTCTTATCGTACACTGGTGTTTGCCCTGTCGTCGTTCGGCACACCAGCAGCAGCGCCGTAGTGCATTTCTGCAAGGAGCCCCCCGGGTATGGTATTCCGCATCCAGGGGCCCGTGCTTCCTAAGAGCTGGGTATGTGCGTTTTATTTTCCTGGCTGTGCGTTGCGGGGGAAGGTGTGTATGTAAGGTGATCGTTCATGGTTGGCCGTGCCGTACAGGGATCCCTTTGAGCGACGCAGCGAGCCGTACTCCCACATCGGGCCCGACAAACGTGACTTGGACTTGGGCACGAGGAACGTGCACTTCCTGTACGGGCGGTGCGGAGGTAAATATATATATATATATATGTGTGGGTGTATGTGTGCAATCTGACTCTGCATATGTTTCCCCTTACCATATGCATCGCTACAACGGAAATCCATGTGAACCGTGTTGGACCCCCCACCCCCCGGGGCAGTGCCATAACCCAGATCGCACATTCCCCAAAACGGCCTTCGAGTTGCAGTTGCTCCATCGCTCTGGACTCTGGACTCTTAGGCGGTTGGTGCTTTTGCTTTGGACGGCGTGGGGGGGCTGTTGCCTTCTGTTCATTTTTGCGTCGTCGTCCTATGCGATTCCCGCCCTCATCCCCACCCCACCCCCACCCCACACATACATACATACATGCACGTTCCATAAGCGCGTTATCCCCGCCTTTCCATTATTGCCATACACCCTAGCCCGCCTACTACTTGTACGACCTATTGGTGCTTCCGTACCGAGCTTTCCTTCCCGGGGTTCCCTGGCCCCACTTTGTTTGGCACCAGGGGTTACGGGTTTTGGTCTAGTGAGGCTCTAGGGCTGCTTGACTGCCGCTCCGCTGCTGCCCTGCCCTGGCATAGCATAGCATAGCATGGCCTGGCCTGGCCCAACACACACACGTGTACGTGTGTGTATGCACATGGAGTTACGGCACCTCACCCACCTCCCCACAACCCGGCGGGTGCACAGGCGTTTGCGACGATGACACGGCTATCTGCTACTGTGACGGGCCCATGGGTCGCGTCCCTGCGCCGCCGGATGCCCCGCCCGGCACGCCGCCCATCCGAGTGGGACGGCCTCTCATTACCATGCACCATGCGCCTAAGACGGTGAGGGGGGAGGGCAGGGCCTGAGGGCAAGGGGGGGCGACACCTGGGCGGATGGGGACGTTCAAATGCGGGTCACACAAACCCTCTCCACGCAGCTCCGCTCCCCTCTCCTCCGCGACCAGGGGACCGGTGCTGCTGCTGCTGCTGCTGCTGCTGCTGCTCTAGGTGCTGCAACTGCTAACCTCCAACATCCTCTACCCCCCGCATGCTGTCCGCCGTTCACGCGACTGCAGACCTGGAACGGCTCCTGGGCGTTCGGCGAGGTACCGTACGACAACGTGTACGGCCCTCAGGGCTATTGCAACGTGACGGATCCTATCTGGGTGCCTGGCTGTGGCATGGACGGGTGGGGCGGCCGCACGTGCGACCAACCCGTGGAGGCGTTTTGCCCGGGGGCGTGCAGCGGACATGGACAGTGCTACCTGGGCTGGTGCATGTGCGTGTATACGGGTTTGGGGGGTGCCAATGGGGGGACGGGATCAGGGTTTTCGGTTTAGGTGAGAAGCTGGGCTGCGTTACAGTTTTAACTTGGGTTGGGCAGGCAGGGCGCTTGGGATGGGAGCTTTGCAGCTGCGTTGGAGCATTGATTTGTATTTCAGTTCTTTCAAGTGTTTAAATTGTTTAAAAGAAGGTTTGTTGGTTTGGGTTTTAGTTTGTCCGTTTGTTTTTGCCCGAATGTAAGGGAATGGGAAAGCCGCGGTACGAAATCCCACGGAGCACTAAACGCGAAACAGTTCCCGCCGCCCCGCAGATGCGACGCGGGGTATTACGGGCACGACTGTGCGCGAAGGCGGGCGGGGCTGTCGCCGCTGCCTAGCGGCATCCGCCAAAAGTGAGTGAGTGTGTCGTCGGGGATTTGGGTGTGAGGGCGGGAGGGTGGTTGGATTTGTTGTAGGATGCAGGGACTGCGCACCGGGTTTTGAGGGGATGCATGCCGGGATGTGCCGGGTAATGAACAGGGGATGTCTGTGTGTGTGTATGTATGTTGTTACAGGGTGGTTAACTTCGCCAGCGGCCCCCTTTCCCGGGGCAGTCCCTGCTCTCCCCTGCGAGAGGGGCACCCTAATCCGTCACCCCATCCGACTTCAGAATGTATTCGTTGGGTTCGGCAACTCACCACCAGCATCCAACCAAATCTAGCGGATCAACGGCGCATCAACTTAGTTCCTGGTCAGCTCGCAAGTTGATATTATCACGTCCATATGATGGGGGGCCTCCTCCCATTTCAACAGTCCTCAAACACCCGAGGAGCCGGCAGGCGGATTTGAACCCGGGTCGGCCGGGAGCAGAAGTCAGGCCTTAACCTCTGCCAGCCGCCTGCCGTGTGTAAGTGTGTGGAGATTCTTGCCGTGGAGTGTTGCTGTTGTTATTGGTGTCTGTGATTGCCAATGTTACTGTCCCTATTCTTGGCGGTGCTACTGTTGTTTGTTGTTGTTGGTGGTGGTTGTGATGCTGCAGGCGGTGGTTGGAGGGGGTTGTGGGTTCGGAGCCCCCCGCCGCGATGGAGCCCCCGCCTCGGGCGGAGCGCAGGCGGCCGCTGATCTACGTGTACGACCTGGAACCGCTGTACCAGAGCAAACTCCTGCAGTACAGGTATGCCGGATGATGCTGTACATTAGCCCTACCTCCGGCATGCAGAAGGGGCCACATGCATACAGGCATGTACAGTACCGGTCTTCCTCCACCGTAATGTGGGTTTCCTGTACTCGGGGAAACCCGCGGATACACCCGCGGCTCTGGTGCCCGTATGTCCTAGGAGTTCAGGACTCCTTCCCTCTTTCCCAACGACCCTCGAGACGCTCTTCCCTTCTCTCCCGAACCCCCCTGCTTTGCCCACCTCGCCGCCGCGGCACCCCTTCATACATACCGACTTACCTTCCATCCTTGCCTCTCAAGCTTCCCCTCCCGGCCTTTTTTCCGATTTGATCCTTAACGCCGGGCAATTACACGGCAGGGTGTTTCCCCCCCTTGACTCCCGTCTGAAACCCACACGCGTCCCCCCCCGCGCCCCCCAGGGTCAGCCCCACCTGGTGCGTCCACCGGCTGCACAGGTGGCCCGACAACGGCACCCAGTGGACGGACGTGTGGGTGTATGCGGCCGACACGCTGCTGCACGAGTCGCTGCTGATCAGCGAGCACCGGACCTTCGACCCGGAGGAGGCGGACTTCTTCTATGTGCCGCACTACGCCTCCTGCCTGCCCTTCCCCATTGGGGTGTGGGCGGATGCGCCGTGGTTCCCGGAGCCGGGGGGTGAGGGCGGGGGAGCCGGGGTCCTTGTGTGTTCGTGCGTGTGTATGTGTGTGTATGCGTGTGTGTTTCGCGGGGAATGGTGAGGGGAAGACATGCTGGTTTAGGAAAGGACAAAAGGGGGAACTCGAGCGATAGGTGCGGGTTGCGACGGTTTTAGAATTGGTTTAGACACGGGCGTTTTTCTTAGCTGCCTGAGTTAGGTGTTTCTGAGGTTAGGGGTTGCCGGTTAGGAGGTGCAGGTCAGCAGGCAGTGTGAGTGTGTGAGCAGGGCGGCTAGGTGGGCCTGGGTGTGGAGTGTGAGTGTCAGTGTGAGTGTGGGTGTGAGTGTGGGTGTGATTCACGAAGAGCGGGATTTTCGGTGGCATCCTTTGTCCCCTCTCCTCCTCCTGCTCCTGCTCCTCGTCTCGTCTCGTCCACCCCGCCATACCCCCACCCCAGCTCGGGCTCATCACCATCTTTGCGAGGTCCTGCCCGCAACTCGGGTCATTACTGTCACATGCCGATTGCCGGTCAACAGAGGTCAGTGCTTGCTGTTTGCGCTGCAGCTGGGGGTGTACCTGGGTTGAGGTCCCCGCCCACCGGCACCAACCCCACCCCGCACTCCTAGCAGCATCCACCCCGCTAATACCCCACTCCCGGGGGCACCCTCCGGAAACCCACACACGTATTCACGCACATGCCCGCAGGTCCCCGTGTGAAGCAGATGGTCAACATGGTTCGTGACACGCTGGACTGGATTAACTCCACCTTTCCGTACTGGCGCCGTCGCGGCGGACGTGACCACATCTGGCTGTTCACACACGACGAAGGCGCCTGCTGGGCCCCCACCGCTATCAACGCCTCCATATGGCTCACGCACTGGGGCCGTACGGAGCTAAACCACACGTATGTACGGCGTGCCGTGGTTTCGGGGATTTAGGCGGGTTTCGGGGGAGGCATAGGGAGCCATCTGGCTAGGGAGGGGGAGGGGGGAGGGGGGAGGGGGGGGCTGGGGAAGGTGGTGGAGGAGGAGGAAGGGTGAGGCGGGAGATGCTTTAAAGGTAGATGGGGCATGGTGCTGTGGTGATGGGGGGGGATTTCGCGTGGCTCGTGGGAAGCCAGGGTTGTTCACCTGAGCAGATTCCGATGCTTTGATGACATGACGCCGTTGAAGCGAACCAAAGCCCCGGCCCGTCGCCCGTTGTCCTGGTAGGCCTACTGCCAATACTTTATCGTGTACCGTATCTGTGTTTTGAAATTCTATGCAACGGACGGCCCCGCCTTTCAAAGGCCCCCAGCTCCGCTCTTCCCTCGCTTTGCTTTTTCCTGTTAACCCCCGTTCTTACTACCCCCCCGTGTAAGACTGTATAATGGCCGAGCCGAGGCGAGCCAAGCGCCCTCGGACTGCGTGGCTCACTTGGAATACCGGGGCCCCTACCCTCCCATCTGCGGCCCCCCTCTCTCCCCCCACGGGGGTGATCAACACCCCCTCTCCCCCTCCTCCCACCCACACTAATTCCCCCCGCCGTTCCTTGTCACCCCAGGAGCAACACCGCTTTCCTGGCCGACAAGTACGACAGTGACTTTGCAGGGCCCCTACAGCCCGAGGGTTTCGTCAAGTACATCAAGGGTCACCCCTGCTTTAACCCGGAGAAGGTGTGTGTATATGTATGATGTGTGAAACAGGGGGGTATATCTTCGCCCGTGGCAGCTACCCTGCGAAACCCTGCCTTCCCCGGTATTTCGGGGCACCCTCATCCAGTCACCCTGGTCAACTTCTCAGTGGATCGCTCAGGTTCCGCACCTACCACCAGCATCCAATGGAATCTGCCGGGTCGACAGCGGCCCAATTCCATTCCTGGTTGGCTCGCAGGTTAACTTTATCCCAGGTCACCACCGTCCATCAACTAGGGGCGCATACCTTCCACCAACGGAAGGATTTTTTACCCTAACGGGTATCGATCCCGGGATCTCCCGGGAGCAATGGCCGCGCGTTACCAGTAGTGCCAAACCCTAGTATATATATGTATGTATATATATGTATGTATATATGTATGTATGTATATATGTCTGGGGGGAGTCAACATGTCATGTGGGTTTGGGTCGAGCTGCGGAGCACGTTGGGGCAGCTGGATCAGCTGCAGGTGGATCAGGGCCCTCGAAACCCTCGAAACCTCATTGAGCAGCTTTTTCTCTTTTCACACCTACACCTACACTCGCTCTCGCTCTCTCTCACACATACACACACGCACACACGCCCGCCCGCACGGGTTCGCTCTCTTCCACCCCGCATGCACCCTACGCCCGAGCTCGTGTGTGTATTTCCCCACGTGCCCTCTTCCCCACGTGGACTTCCCTTCCGCGACACCTCCGCGACCGCAAATACCCCCTTACATAAGCCCCTTCCTCAACCTCCTCCCCTCACCCCAACACACGCACACCTACATCTACACAACCCAACACACACAGGACCTTGTTATCCCCGCGTTCAAGGCGCCCAGTCACTATCACGCTAGTCCGCTGCAAGGCAACCCGGCCCGGGAGCGGGACCTGTTGTTCTTTTTCAGGTGTGTGTGTCTGTGTGTGTGTCTGTCTGTGTGTGTGTGTGTGTGTGTGTGTGTGCCCTGGGTGTTGGCGGGGGAAGAGAGGTAAAGCGAGAGGTAGAGCTGCTGCCTGTCGCGTTCACGATGTGGTGGCTATCGTATGTGTTATCTGACGCAGCAGCCGTGAACCCCCCTCGGGACCTCCTCCGCCTCTTCCGCCTCTGTGCATCGTGTCCCTCATCCGGCCGCCCCCTGCCAGTCCTCCACATTCCCTGCTGCTCATTCGTCGTGTTGTAACCCCCTCTCACCCCACTCACCCCACCTACCTGGCTGGTGCCGCGCAGGGGCGATGTGGGTAAAAATCGACTGCCCAACTACAGCCGAGGAGTACGGCAACAGGTATTGCTTGTGCTACTGCCCCTGCTGCTACAGCCGCGGCGACGGAGGGGAAGGGGAAAAAGGGGAAGTTTGGGGATTTGCATAGCTTGGAGGCCATGTTGACTGTACGAGGAATGGGGGATGACGGGGAGGGATGTGAGGCCGCTGCTAAAACCGCGTTCCTTACCTAACCCACCCAACCAACGAAATGAAACCTCACCCAAACCCACCCAACCAGATTTACAAGATGGCCAAGGAGGGCGGCTGGGCGGAGAAGTACCGCTTCTACATCGGCGACGGCAGTGATGTGGAGGGCGACTACTCGGAGATGCTCTCCAGGGCGATATTCTGTCTGGTGGCCCCCGGTGGGATTGGGTGTGTGTGTGTGTGTGTGTATAGGGTAGAGGGGGCATTGGGGGGAGAGAGAGGGGAAGGGGCGACAGCAGACATGGAAACCCGCACGCCCACACCACCGTCCTCCACATCCACCACGTATCCACTGTCACACTCCTTTATTGATGTCATCATGCCAGGGCCCCTTCTCACCTTCGCCCTCCCAGGGCCCCAGCAAGCACCTCACAACACCAGCGGGGCAGCCACCACATCTGTTGTACTGCAGCCCGTTTTGTACTACTCCCGCGGCCCTACCCCCACCCCCATCCTTACGTCTCTCACTCAGCAACCCGAGCTACAAAACCCCCAACCCCGCAACCTCCCAAACTCAGGTGATGGCTGGTCGGCTCGCATGGAGGACGCGGTACTCCACGGCTGCATTCCCGTGGTCATAGCGGACGGAGTGGAGGCCGTGTTTGAGAACGTTCTAGAACTGGACGCCTTTGCGCTGAGACTGCCGCAGGAGGCGGTGCCTCGGCTGCTGGACGTACTTCGGGCGGTGCCGCAGAGGGCCATTCGCAGCAAGCAGGCGCACCTCGGCAGGGTGTGGCAGAGGTGAGGGCTGGGGGAGGGGCGAGGGAAGGGCGGGGAGGCACGAGGGTCGAGGCGGGTAGTGTGTGTGATTTTTTGTTTGTGTGTGTTTGGGATGGAAAGGGGGGTTGTTGCCGTTAGGAAACGGATTTGGAGAAGCGACATTTCTCACCTGGGGTGCCCGCCGCCCTGTATGTATGTACGGTAAAGGTGAAGGATTATTAAGCTACCTGTAACCGTATGCTGTCCGTTCGTCGTGGAGAAGCTGTACGGCATCGCGCAGTTGTACTGCTACATATCGTGCTGAGTTGATGCTAATCAGAGCGGATGATTGCCCCCTGTGGTATAGTGCTGCCCTGCCCGCATAACCCAAACATCCTTGGTTGTGTTGTAGTTGTGTGCTGCTTAGATACAATAAACAAGTCGGGTGATGTGCGTGATGTAACCCCCACAGGGGATGCCCCCTGTTCGTCCGTCTGTCTGTCAGCCTGTCTGCCGGCCTGTCCATCGGTTTGTCCGCCTGTTTGTCTGTCTGTTTGTCCGCAGGTACCGCTGGGCATCCCTTCCCAAGTTGGTGAGTGAGCTAAGAAGCGCGCAGCAGCGCAACCAAGTGGCCGCGGGACACTCCACCGAAGACGACGAGGGGGGGACGGCGGCGGCAACAGCGGCCGCCGGGGCGGGAGGGGTGGCGTCGCGGCGGCAGAGGCGGAGGCGGGGCCTGATGACTGAAGGTCACAGCACGGCCGGGGCCGGCAGTGGGGTGGGGGTCCCTCGGCGGTTCCCCCTACCGCGACCATATCGGGGCGACCCGGCGCAGGATGATGCGTTCGCCACCATTATGCAGTGGCTGCATAGCCGCATCCCGCACACTCGCTAACCTGTCAGCATTGCTGCCGTCATCAGCAGCAATAGCTGCATCGCTTCATCGTAATCATTATGTAGGGGTGATAGCTTGATCATTGGCCACTAGCCAGTGGCTTTAAAGCTTTTTCACCATGGTAATTTTTTAGTGACCAAGTGGTTACTGTGGGGGTGTACCTGGAAAGGAACAGCGAGTATGCTGAACTGGAGCCCACTAGAATCATGCATCCGTATATCCAACTTTGACTCTATGTACGGCAACTTGTTCCCGAGCCCAGCTTAGTGAAGTATCACTGCTCCCATCCAAGCGTCAAAACATTTTTAGGTGGTCACTACTACCAAGGGGGTCTGGGGCCCCCAATTTCCTTGCGACCACCTGGTTACTGGCAGGTGACTCCAAACATTTCCTAGTGACACCACCTTCTGGAAGGGAATGATTTTCTCAGTAACCACTTGGCCACTAGAAACCACTTTTAAATTCACTGCCACTAGCCTGGCAGTCTCCACTTTCTCCCAGCTTGGAGACTCCCTTACCATCCTTCTCACCCGTGTCGGCTTCAGTGAAGTCAAGTGACTTATTCGGGTCTAGCACCACCAGCACCACCACCAGCACATCCAGTGGAATCTGCCGCTGGTTCGGTGGGGGGAGTTAGCTGGTTTTGATGGACCATGTACGGTTTGTGTTTGTCGGTACTGCCGTCCTCGTGCAGGCTGTAGGACGGTAAATGGTGGCTCCCACATGGTGTCTGGGTGTATGTATGTATGTACGTATGTGTGGGGGGGATAAGATGGCGTGTATGGTAATGCGGTGGGTGTACACGGGTCTCGTGAACGGTCTCGTGTCTTCTCTTAGGGGCACTGCGAAGAGGGAGAGGGACTGCATGCATGTGTGGTTGTTACAGTGGGCTCCAGTGCATGTGCTTTGGCGTCCAGGGGGGAGGTGTAGCTGTCCAGGTCCTTCACAATGACGCGGGAAGGGGGCTTGATTGCTCAATCCTAGGAGTGGAGAGCGGGTGCCCCTGATCCTGATCCTGATCCGGGCTGATTCTTTGTTCAGTACAGTGACGTAACGAGTGACCTCCGAAGCTCTTAGAAATACTGAACGCGCCTACTTCAAGGCCCGTCTGACCACTGCCGCTTTACCGCCCTCATCACAACCACCGCAACCACCTCCATTAGACGAGGCTCAGACCAGTATCTTCAAGATATCTGTATTTTTGCCCTCGGTAGCTTGTTAGTGACCAAGTGGTTACTGTATGTGAAGGTTTTCCTAGGTAACCACCTTACAAAAACCTGCCCTAGTGACCACCTTCCGGAACGGATTTGTTTTCTCAGTAACCACTTGGCCACTAGAAACCACTTTTAAGTTCACTGGGTCGGGTCAGACCCAGTCACCATCCGCACACCTTGACCAGTCCGGCAGCCGACATACCGACATACATGTGCGTCGAAACACATACTTTCCCTCAGGGAAACTTCCTGAGGTTGCGGCGTCGCAAAAACATAGCATGTGGTCTGGATCGAACACACGACCGGTTTCCCTAGCCACCAGCGCACAGGTGCCGAGTGCCCTCGCTTGCCAAGGCCTCTTGTAGTGCAAGTAAAGGAGAAGGGAGAAGCACCGGAAAGAAGCACCGGCAAACATGCATTCCACACAAACATGCATCCACGCATGCGCACGCGCACACACATACAAATGTATGTACTCGCTACCGACCCTACCCACTTTTCAACACGCAAGCCTCGGCTCCTGCGCCTCGTCCCCCTTACCGACACCGACAAGCTTTCGGATGCGGTCATCCTGTGGTACATTGACCCGCGGGTCGATCACCACACCTTCCCCCAAACTCCCTCGGCTCTGTTTGTCCTTCTCTTTCTTCTTTTTCTTTTCCTGGGGCTTCTGTTGCTGGTGCGAACCTACGTTCTGGCAGCCTACGGCTTTCCCGTTCTGGTCAGATGGGGTTGCTTCTGCTGCTGTTGCCGTGACGGCTGCCACAGCATTAGCTAGCAGCGTACCCCCATCCACTGCCAGCATTGGTATGGCTGCAGATGCCTCCTCGGCCGATGGGGCGCGGCGGCGTCGGAGGAGTTCGGGAAAGGGTGTTCCCGGGAGCTGTGGGGGCTCTGTAAGGGAAGGGCGCACACGGAGGAAGGGTCGACGAAATTAACGCACTTATACATGCATACATGTTGTGTTTGACGACATGTACGACATGTACGCGCGCAGAAAATAGGCAGCGGAGAGCTGTGGCTGGCTTAACACGGCCTTGGCCCTGCCTGCCTGTCTGCATGGCTGCGAGGGGCCTACGTACCGTAAGGTTCTAGCACGGGCGGGTGTCCGGGAGCAGCACTTGCAAAAAAGCGGAAGGCGCCGTCCGCACGAACCTCTCCCTCAGCAGCCTCTGCCTCCGCCCGCTGTGCTGCCCGAGCCTCTTTACGCCTCTTCTTGGGACCGGGCTCCTTCAGTTTGTCCCTCAGTCGGTCTTCTAGCAGTGAGTCCAGGGCTGCGGCCACCTGTACAGAGGCGTAGATAAATGGGCGAGAATGAATAACTTAACTAATCCCATGCCACCTGTATGTTGTGCCATTACTGTTCTCGCCTTCAGCTGAATCGGATTAAGTTGGTCCCATGGGCCGTCGCCATCTTCCCACCCGTCGTCGTGTTCCAGAGCTGCGCCATTTTGTTGATCAGCTCCCGTAGATCTTTTCTCTACCGTGCGCTTGCGCTTAAATGTCCCGGCAATGCGTTCCTTCGCCTGTACAGCGGGTCGCAGCCGCTCAATGCAAGCCTTGGCTGCCCAACCCCGTTGTTGGTCCGTTGCGTATACCTTTTGCGCAACGTCTTTCTGCTTGCTTGTGATTTCCTCAAATGATACAGCTACGGATTGGAAAACGGCAAGGTCTTCCTCAGAAGAGCTGCTTGAACTGCTTCCGGCCTTCCTTGGCATTCTATCCGTCTACATTATTTATTATTACATTAAATAATCCTATTAGAAGTACCTAATCCTTGGGCAAAGAGCGCAGGTTGGACTTCTTTAATGAATTTTTGCGCAGCGTAGGCAGGAACATACAATCGACAATCATGTGTTAGTAAAATGATGAACGGGATTTGCTCAGTTGCTTCCCCATTAGATGCCGGTTAGCCGTTTTATACGGCAACTTGCCAAACTTTAGCTAATGTTTCCAGAGGTCGGCAAATCGGTTTCTACGGCTGCGGGAGGGCATAATTTCGGTCAATAAACCTAAAAAAAATTTTGGCGCCTTCCGGCGCCAAAAGAGACAGCATTTCAGGGCTCCACGTCCCGTACACATTGCAGGGGGGGCAAGGGTTCGTTGCCAAGCAAGTTCTTGCGCCATGAAGTTAGCATCGCCCCCGAGCTATTCATCGCCGACCGCATGCGGTTGAAGCGCGGGGCGTGAAGGATATTCTCGACCTTATCGGTGATATGCGTGTAAGGTGCATCCTAGTGGAGGACTTGTACTTGGCCATCGCCCCCTTCAACATTGCATCCTCCTTCTTCAAGGACCCGACATACTCAGCTTCACAAAAAGACCTTCGTTGAACTTAAGCCGGTGATGTTTGGTACTTTAAGCCAGTCCATGTATTCACAGATCGTTGGGAAGTGAGTGAAAGGCATGGCTTGGTACAGGACCATGTATGCGCCACAAAACAGAGCCAACAAGGGATTGTCGGCAACCTCGGTCATGGCCAGGTGCTTGTCAGTTTGCTGTTGCTGCTGATCCTGCGTGTACTGGACTACAGCCGCTTTGTGGGAGTAGGAGGCCTCGTGCCGGGTGTAAGCTGAGCGATCCCAGTTCGTGCGGGAAATGGTGGCGTTACTCTCCTTATGTGTGTCGCANAAAAACAGATGACCGTCGTCGAGCCCTGAAGTGCATAGGCCCAGCTCTTGAAATCACCACCACAAGTGTCAGTCAGCCAAATAATGTCCTCGTTGGGATTACGAGGCCGCTCAAACCCGGGGGGACACCAACGGCATCGATCTTATTGGTGGACTTGGTGCGCTTCAGTTGCAGGTTGGCGGTGGCATTGGGGGTGGCGGGGGGCAGGAGTGTTGCCGGCTGCTGTTCGGGAGCGGTGGTGTTGGGGGTGGTGGGCAGGAGAGGTGCTGGCTGCTGACTGGGACCGGTGGCGGCAGTGTTGGCTTGAGTGTGCCTTTTCTTCTGTGGAGGAAGGGCCACGGTGCTGGCGTTTCCGGAGGTGGGAGGTGGTGGTGCTGGGAAAAGTAGACCTGGAGAGCTTCACCGGCGCTGCCCGATGGCCCAAGTAACGGCTCTTCCGCCTCAATATATGTTGCTGGGGGATCAGCAGTGGCTTTACGACCGGTCAGCGTGCCGGCCAACGTGCGTTGTCGACCGCTGGAAATTTCTGCACGCGTTTCCTTCGTTCCCCGGCGAGATGCCGCGGTCAGCAGTTAAAAATACAAGCAATATGATGAAGATTATGTATAGGATAGGCCACATGGGACCAATATCTGGTATGCCAAAGTCCACAATTGACCAAGTCAAGTGCTGCGGCAGCTGCAAGTCATCGGTACAGACGCTAGAAATGTAATAATGTATCAGTGATAACCGTCACCGAATTGTGTAGAGGTGGTCGTGACATTCTTTTACAAAGTCAAACACAGAGTTCGAGTCCAGCGCGCGGCCCTACGGGCCGCAATAGAGGCTTCAATCACGTCTTTCGGTCGAATTTTGGTCATTTGGGTCCCGCAGCCGGGGCCTTAAGCCGAATTTCGGCTGCGGGTACTGTGTTACGGACCCGCAGGACCCACCGGATTTGCCGACCTCTGAATGTTTCCCAACTCATTGTAACATCATCTAGAATCAGAGAACTCAGAGAACGGTTATGAATTTCTCTAAAGGGGAAGCCCTTTAGTTCTTCCCCACGAAGCATCGTCCTTATCGAGGTGCCATTATTCCCACCGACCGACGGACCATCCGTCCGTGCCTCAAATATTCATCTTCTTTCACTCCACTGACGTCTATGTTGCGCTATTTGATGATGGGCTATGCAACACACCTTGGCTACCTCTCGATGCCTGCACTGCCTCTACGGCACCACTGTGGGGCGCGACCTCTGCTGTTACCTTCCACCGCCGTCCGCTCCTCACCCAGGATATGCTACGAGCACGCAAACACACCCGCAAAGCCCTTCTTAGTTGATGGCTGCACGCTTTTTCACGTGCAGAAGAAGCATCAGGCTGGGAAACATCGCCCATCCCTGCAACACCTTAACACGTACACGCAAACGTCGTTCCCTGCGCGGCTTGAGCCCGCATCAGCCTCCAGGGCCAGGAGCTTTCATCACCGTATCCTTGCCCAACACGTCATCCGCCACCAGCAGCTCCATATGGGATTCGCCGCCACCGTGCCATCTTAGTGCTACCCACTTCGTATGTCCTTCATAGCTACTTGGTAACATTCTTAGGGTGTATTTCCAGTGCGGATTAAGGCCAGGGATTAGCCCTCTGTCCTCCATCGATACTTGCTCAAACAGGTAAGTTGTTGGCAAACTTACCTCGCCTTTTCAACCTTTGGTTCCCTTATGGAGCGAAACTAACTGCTAAGCTCGTACCAAGGACTTCCGTGCCCTAATCCCTGGCCTTAATCCGCACTGGAAATGCACCCTTAATAGGCCGCTTAGTAGATCACTTAGTATCATGTTACATACTAACTGCCCTTGCAGCGCTTAGTACTGAATACTAAGAATACTAAGTCCTTCAAACAAATATTAAGTGACATTTATCAAGAACTTCAAACAATTATGAAGTAACGTGTATCAGGAACTTCAATATTATACCAAGCACTGGTTACCAAGTGTTTACAAAGTACTGTAAATAAGTACACAATACACATGTAAGAAGTACTTAGACTATCAGGTACTCCATAAATGTCAACACTACACCAGCTGATAAGTATTGATCCGACTGCTGTCTTCTCCTAAAATCCTAAACACACTTTCCTAAAAGCACTCGTGTTCACACAATACATGAATAGTCGGTATGGTCAGCCTGCACCTTGCGTCATCCTATACCCACACATCTTTTAAGATCTCAACACTGGGCAGCACCTTTATGCCCGCACCCTCGGCCCTCCACCATTTTCACCCGGCCCCCACATCCTCCACCACTGCCAGCAGAGGCACCTCCTACCACCCACCCAGAGCCAACACCACTGCCCCCCTCCGCTGCGCTTTGCTACTGTTGCTCCTGCTGTTGCTGTTGCTGCTGCTGCCACCAACCGCCAGCCAAGTACGACTGCATAATCACGCGATACGCGGCGCAGGAAAACACAATTGGCACGGCGATACGTACACACCACGATACGGCACGGATCCATATCGCCGACTTACCGCATGTATCATCTGGAGGGTGCTTGCACCGTAGATACCGCCAAGCGCCGCCGGTCAAAAGGAGGGTACGCGGTTCGGGGAACAGGTGGGGCGGGGCGGGAGGGGATGGTATCGTTTGCTTTGCTACTGCTTTGCTGCTACTGCTGCTGTCGCAGCAGACCGCCAGGCAGACATGATTGCACGCTCCCAACAAAATGCGGAACTGAAAACCCTAAACAGTACGACCAACCGCAAAGCGCGAGGTATCTTGAAATCCAGGGGCTCATGCAAGGACTGCAGCTCGTGTAGCGCCCAATCGTTGCGCCCTCGGCATTGGTGTTGATATACGGCCGCCGCGCAGCCATAAGGACGCACCAGAGGCAGGCGGGAGGACGGGGCAGGAGGATGGGCGGAGGGGAAGGAATAATCAGCAAGGTACGATGAGGAAGTTCATGAGGCCGTCTTGTTTGGGTTCACGAGCGAAAAGACATGCATAAAATCTTATCCATAATAGCTCACGCATTCCTACAGGTGCTTGCTTTGCCTTGTAACGATCACTGTCGCTTCTGCTGCTGCCGCTTCTGCTGCCAGCCGCCAGCCGAACACGATAGCAAGGAAACGTCCAACATGGCACCGGACAATACACCAGGCGCTGCACAGGGTACGACGAACTGCACTGTGAAGTGCAGTACAGCACGCAACGGCACTGGACGCAACGCCTACGTACCCCATCAAAGCCCACACTAAAGGTTGTCGAAATCATCAGTTCCTGCTGAACCTGTTTGCTTTGAACGCCTAGGCCCAGCATGTCATCTCCCCGTCGCTCCATGTCACCGAGCCCTAACATGGGACGAGACACGGAACATCGCAAGCTGAAAGGTAGATGTAATTGTCGTCCTGCTCACAGCATTCATCACGCAGATCTTCCAGTTTCTGCCTGTAAGCGGGCAAACAGAAGCAATTGTGAGGACAAACTTTGCGATGTAGTCTTCCTGGTGCTGCTATCCAATTGCCTGATCCTTAATGCAATCAAAACATTTCATAGCTCATGCATTCTGGGAAGACAAGAGACGGACAACTCCAACTTCAACCGTCGAAGGCGCCTGGACGACCTAGGTGCATTACAGGCAAACCCACAAAAGCCTGAGCTATCCAGCTCCGAGCCGTATAAAGCAATAATATACGTGTCTAGATTGAAAATATCTAACTGTTGATATGAAGCTAATTTCGGGCATTTGAGTTTTGGCATGGTTCTGAGTCCTGGCTTCGGTTTTAGTTGCATGTGTTACACGCATCAGCCCTACAGGCACACATGTAAGCCTGGGCTTAGGAAGCGCAGAACGTAACCCCGACTCCCTGCGAACCTGAACCTATCGGCTATTGCAATTTGATCATGCCTTTTCGACGCGAGGAGAAGCCCCAAGGGCCCACACACCAAAGCATCCGCCACCCACCAATTAAAGTAATTTCTACGTGCTGCACAATACGCACCCGGAAATCCAATGTACTCCCCGGGCTGAGGGACAACCTCGGCAGGTTTTCTGGTACGACAGTCAACCGCCAACTGCAACAATCGCCTCGGACCTCTTCCAATAGCTGAATTCGTGACGGTATTCTTCATTTATGCACCTCCTTGCCTCTACGGTATATGTTTAAATTTGAAACTGTAGTCAGCCCAACCTTACAGCAACGATACCGGCAGCGTCGCTGCTCAGCTCCGTTCTCCGTGTATTTTTCTCCTGGCAGCCTGAGTTGTGGTGCATCCTATACGCTTAATACGGTACTAGTAAGGAGTAGCATCTACGTAGAAACGGGCCCGGAGCCCAGAAATGGAACGGGTCGCTGACGTCCCAGCACACGGCGCTCGGCAGTCCAATCGGGACCCTTCTGACTTTGCTCTTACCAATAAGAATCTTGTTTGTTGCTACGTGTGCCGCCTAATCAAGTCGCGCAACCAGGTGCGGTGTTTGTTGCGGTGGAGCGTTGAGGACGCTGCTCAGCCGATTCCCTTTTGCAGTTCCATGATTCGGGTTGTGACAACTGTAAAAATCTTTTTGGACCTAGCATTTCATTTGAGGACTACACGACACCAAGCTTCTCGGGGCAAGGACTGAGGCTTTTAAACGAATCAGGGACTTTGTTCTTACGGGCGAGGATGGAGGCAGTGAGAGGATTCGTAAGCACATGGCCTAACAATGTTGCTTGCAAAATGATCGCTTAATACGGTTTGTTATACTCGTAAAGTTGTGTCTTCAGTAATCTCTTCCTACCCCATGTGCACGTGTAATTTACGTGATGATGGTTCGAATTCTCTATGTGCCGTACACAGACATCGCCTCCTTCATCAGCATGTGTGGTCAGGTTCCGCCCCACCGAGTCATGGCGTTCCTCAACGACCTCTTCACCATTTTTGACCAGCTGGTGGAGAAGCATCAAGTTTACAAGGTCGAGACCATCGGAGGTACGGCATTGTACGGCATCGTCGTACATATCATAGTACGGAAGTGTACGGGACTGAGGCGATGCCGTTGTTGCATAATTTGGCGGAACGACTGCCGAGAAGCATGACTGTGTTACATTCGAGGTGCTCGTATCCTATCTTCATGTTCGATAGCCGCTCTCCTGTCTGGGCCTTTTTTCATAGCTTTTGATACCTGTACCAAACCATCTTTTTCATATTCGCCCATAAGTGAAGCACCGGCCGGCAGCAGTGGCGAAATGTCTTCGTGGTTCTTGGGGTTTTATTGGGGCTGGTTTGGGAATATATGGGACTATTCACTGCACGACCCCGACGCGACAAAGCAAGGCCTACGGGCTACAGGTCGACCACTGGCCGCCAGGGCAGCACCCGGGGGGGCCGTACGTAGCTCCACGTGTATGTAGCTCGAAGCTTGCTGCGACAGATGATGTATTTCTAGGCAAGTCCGCACATCGTTCGTGAAACCCTAACTTTTCACAAGCTTCGCAAGATTTTACTCTCAGTTTTCGGTTTCTGTTGGCAGCGCATGTTGCCGGGCCCTCCTCCCCCTCCTCCTCCCCTTCCCCTCCTCCCCCTCCCCCTCCTCCCCCTCCTCCCCCTTCCGTGCGTGAATCTGTGTATCGCTCTTGCCCTTCTCGCTCCAGTCAACGTTGCCAGTCGAATGGAGTCCACGGGTGTACCTGGTGCCGTACACATTTCTGCGGCCACGCGGGCCTTATTAGGCGCGGCGGCCGACGGGTTTCTTTCCACGGGGGGAATTCCCGTCAAGGGCAAGGTACGGATTGGGGAGTTGGCAGTTGACAGTTGGGAATTGATGTTATTGTTCTTTCCTGGTATTCGCACTTTATTCGCACTGGTCCACATGCCCACGAAGATCCGCCACCACGCAGTTCTTTGTCGGAGAAGTGAGGGGGGGCCATATTCCCTCACTCACTCACTCAAAGAATACCAAGCGCAGCATCATTCGCGTATTGGGGTGTGAAACGCAGTTCTTCATGCAGGTCGTCATCATGTCATCCTTCTCTGCGCCTCCCCCCGGCCTCACCAAACCATGTAACCCATGCGGTTGTATGACGTACGGCGCAGGGGTTCATGCTCACGTACGTGTACGACCCGTGCGGCGTCGCTCCGCAGCGCTCTCAAACAGTCTCCCGAACTGGATCAGGTGCGGAACAGGAGGGTGCCGCTGTGGCGGGTGCCGCTAAGCTATCGGGTGCCTGTCCTGATCCTGATCTACCAATCTTGACCGCTACAGCCGTGCCGGGTATTGGTAGGGAAGGTCCCCAGGTCCCCGGGGGAGAAGCATCTAGCGGTACACCGACAGAGGCGCCGCCTCCGTTGCCGCAATAGGCCATGTACGACATGACGTACATGGCACCCCAAGTGGTATGATTGTGCGCGCGTGTTGCAAAAGCGAGGACCGCTCTCTTGCGTGTGTGCCATTCCCGAATGTATATTCGACGTTTGTTGTACTGCAGCATGTACGGAGTACGGAATACGGCATAATACGGATATGGCACGTGTTTGTACAATTGTGTCAGTTTTGTACTTTGGCTCGGTCCTGCGATGTCGGTTCCCGCAGCTGTGAGGGAAGGTGTTTTCCGGGCGCGTGCAGGAGGGTCCTTCGAACCCGCCATGAATATCTAGCTAGCTAGATAGCTAGCTAGCTAGCTAGCGGGATTGTGTCTTGTAAATTATTTTGGCGCTGGCAAATATTTGTCTTGGCAGGAGTTTGTGACTTGGCTTTGCGAGGGTCGTGGTAAGGGTCGCTGTTTGAGGGAGAGGAGAGGAGAGGGGAGAGAGAAAGAGAGGGAGAGCGAGACAAGTGTCAATGGAGACGCGCATTGGATTCGGTTTGGGGTTGGATTCGGAGCTGTGTATGTACGTCCTGCACATGGGTTAAGAACTGGCAGTTTGGGGTTTGGGCTGGAAATAGGTTTGGTCACAAGACACACGCCGTGAGACACGCACACACACACACACATGGTTGCTTCTCTCCGACAAAACACACAATATAAAATGTTCGTACTTACTCGTTACGTTGAGGACTGCATACTGCGACGTTCGGCTTGGGGGATATACGGTTATACGACAGCACGGATGTACGGATGTATTCACAGATTTGTATGGACGGCGGCTGCGGTGGGAGCGAGGAGCGAGCGGTGTGAGGAGGGAGCGGCATTTACTTTTATCACTGTCGGGAGAGCGGCGGCGGAAGCTTCTTTATGATATGTCGCGGTCTTCAACGCGGCTCCTGGTGTGGGGAATTTTGAAGTCAACGAGAAATCAACTAGAAGCCCTTCCTTGGCTTAGTCTCGGCCGCTATTATATATGCACCTTCTTTTATAACTAACCCATTATATCGGTCGGCGTTTCGGAAGCAGCGAGAATAAATAACAGCCATGCGCAATAGCAGCTGTTTATAAATATAGCAGTAATCGTCGTTATAGGTGTCTCGCAGTAATAAGGTTTGCGGGCAAAGAGGAGGAGGCGGGAAGGAGGGAAGCTGTGAAGGGCCGGTAAGGTGATAACGAGGCGCCGAGTCCGCTACCCTTGCGGGGCCAGGGAGCGGTCGAGGGAGGGGGCCGGGTGCACCGCTCGCTCGCATGCACCTCTCTCGGCTGTTTGGTTTGCGCTTTTCGTCATGTGGGTACGATTTGTTTCGAACGGCAGCGTTTCGACCACTATGGCTAAAAGACCCGGGGGAAACGCGAGGCAATGATGATGATGATGAAAACAAGGAGGGAGCGACGTCAGCATCAGGAGCAGATACCGGAGGGTCGTACCAGAACTCGACAGGACCAGTTAACCCAGCAGAGCGTCGCTTCCCTATCGCGGCAGCAACATCGAACAGCGTGGTACGTACGAAAACCACCTGATGTTGAATGCGGTGCGATGCTCTTGCAGTTCAAGTGCAGTGCAACAGATACTCTCGAGCACGTGCAGGAGGCGGATGAACGACAACATAACGTCCGGCACAGCGAACTAAATTTGGGGCACAGCTCATCAGAGTGAGGGGACAAACGGATCCCAAGTGAAGGGCGGACCAGTCAAACACTGAAGCTGCTCGAATTCGGAAGTGCAAAGTATGCGAGTCGAAGGGAAGAGTGCAGAAGTTCGTGTTTGTGTTACAAGATTGAAGAGGCTCGGTAATTAGAGCAGCAAAAACAGCAGCATCCTGATGCATGAGTTGCACTAATGACAAGAGTCTGCAAGTCACACACACACACACACACACACACAAACGAAACCCCCCGAACCGCATCATGCCAGGCCATCATGGCATTATGCCCCCCGAACCGCATCATGCCAGGCCATGCCCCCCAATCGCATCATGCCAGGCAAAGCCCCCCGAACCGCATCATGCCAGGCCATGTCCCCCGAACCGCATCATGCCTGGCCATGCCCCCCAAACCGCATCATGCCAGGCCATGTCCCCCGAACCGCATCAGGCCAGGCATTGCCCCCCAATCACATCATGCCAGGCTATGCCCTAAAACTCGCATTGTGCCAGGCCATGCCCCCCAAACCGCATCATGCCAGGCCATGCCCCCCAAACCGCATCATGCCAGGCCATGTCCCCCGAACCGCATCAGGCCAGGCATTGCCCCCCAATCACATCATGCCAGGCTATGCCCTAAAACTCGCATTGTGCCAGGCCATGCCCCCCAAACCGCATCATGCCAGGCCATGCCCCCCAAACCGCATCATGCCAGGCCATGTCCCCCGAACCGCATCAGGCCAGGCATTGCCCCCCAATCACATCATGCCAGGCTATGCCCTAAAACTCGCATTGTGCCAGGCCATGCCCCCCCAACCGCATCATGCCAGGCCATGCCCCCCGAACCGCATCATGCCAGGCCATGTACCCCGAACCGCACCATGCCAGGCATTGCCCCCCAATCACATCATGCCAGGCTATGCCCTAAAACTCGCATTGTGCCAGGCCATGCCCCCCCAACCGCATCATGCCAGGCCATGCCCCCCGAACCGCATCATGCCAGGCCATGTACCCCGAACCGCACCATGCCAGGCCATGCCCCCCAATCACATCATGCCAGGCCATGCCCCCCGAACCGCATCATGCCAGGCCATGCCCCCCAATCGCACCATGCCAGGCCATGCCCCCCAGTCGCACCATGCCGCCAGTCCTTCGAGCTTCCAACGCAAAGTCTGGCCAGGTGACCCTGCACAAGAACAAACGAAACGGTTAAATATGCCAATTCCAACGTCTAACGGTGGCATTTGAGCGCGAACGGCAGTTTACCCCCCAAGCTTGCGGCCCAGACTTACCGTGCACGATACCGTGCTAAGGCGCCTCACGTACGTCGCAGCCTCGTTAGACCTGAGGCCGCGCACTCGAGCAACGTTCAAACAGAAAGCCTGCGGAAGTGGAGACCCTGCACAAGAACAAACGAAACGGTTAAATATGCCAATTCCAACGTCTAACGGTGGCATTTGAGCACGAACGGCAGTTTACCCCCCAAGCTTGCGGCCCAGACTTACCGTGCACGATACCGTGCTAAGGCGCCTCACGTACGTCGCAGCCTCGTTAGACCTGAGGCCGCGCACTCGAGCAACGTTCAAACAGAAAGCCTGCGGAAGTGGAGACCCTGCACAAGAACAAACGAAACGGTTAAATATGCCAATTCCAACGTCTAACGGTGGCATTTGAGCACGAACGGCAGTTTACCCCCCAAGCTTGCGGCCCAGACTTACCGTGCACGATACCGTGCTAAGGCGCCTCACGTACGTCGCAGCCTCGTTAGACCTGAGGCCGCGCACTCGAGCAACATTCAAACAGAAAGCCTGCGGAAGTGGAGACCCTGCATAAGAACAAACGAAACGGTTAAATATGACAATTCCAACGACTAAC